GTGTCTAAAATGGGTTTTTACATGAGCAGTGTGACTGGACCCTCATTAACAAGGAATGCCTCAGAGGGTGTCTCTTTTGTAAGATGTATAGGGAGTGGGACCGCCGGTTTAGAGTTAGACCTTGGCGGTATATCCGGGAGAGCTTCTGCAAGCGAATTGTGTTCTCTAGAAGTGGTATTTTATTTCCAAAGTTTGCAGAGAGAAGTCACAAATCGAGAAATTCCCGAAGCGTATAGTAAATCACAAAATCCGCGCGATTTAGTGTTTTTTTCTTTTTGCACCGAAGCAGAAATTAGAAATTAGATACGTTTAGATTTAGAAGCTCCCGTGCAGAAACCATAGTCGTAGTCCCTGATCTTCATCTCCACACTGCCGTAGGGATAATAGTAGGATTCTTCGTGGCCTTTGATGTGCCAGGTAATACCGAGAGCCCTTATTTCCGAACGGTAGGTGAATTTACGTCCGGTTAAGATTCTCCATCGTTGCAATCCTTGAACCACCAGCCAGCACTTAGTCTTGCGGAGCATCTGTCTCCGTCGGGTGGCTGCGTCATGATCTTCTTGATGGTGAACTTATGTCCCTTGTGGAAGGACAACGCGTCGTAATCTGTGCCTGCCAAAAAAACAGCGTGAACCGAGCAAGGGTGTTGTCAGCTCTTGCACTATGATATACTAACGAGCAGCAAATATAAAATAATACCTTGTGTTATAGGCAAATACCTAAACATTTTACTGCGTCAGGGACACAAAATTATTTTCGTCACTTCCAAACTGAGTTGCATACAAATAGGTTACACACATTAATTCGACACAACCGATCTAGTAACATAAATTACAAGTCACAATACTTTTTGTGGAGTTACTCCATTTTAAAATTTCGTTTGAAAGGCTCCACGGTAACACCGGCAACACTGAAAACGCGACGCCAAAAACGAGACACTAGGTGGAGCAAGCTACCGCCCATTACAAAAGTACGGCCATTATCATTCTTCCATCCATTTATTGATTGCAATATAGGATTGCTATATAGGGACAGCACAGTTTGTTCTTGTTTGGTGGTACGGAATGAATTCTAAGCAAGCTCACGCCGGTAAAACGTGTAACATCACACTGATGGAGAACGCGGGAAAATTTGAATGTTGATTTCGGCACAACCTCCCACGCGGACAGTGGAGGCCCATTGTTCAAATCCTAGCTCCGCCGTTTATTTTGACTTTCGGAGGTTTCAACTTTGATTCAATCACAGTTCTTCATCCGTATGTGTTTGATTATTTTCTCTTCAGAGAACCACGCACCATGACGAAAATCCAAATAGTAGTTCTTCCAGAAAATATATCCACCAGGAAGTTATTTTATGCAAAATAATTTGCCTGAACGACGATAAATACCTAAAGACAGACCCTTCCGGTTTAGTTCTACTCAGCACCGACTTGCCGAGCAAAGTGTAGTACCATTAGACGATTCGCAAATTTTTTATTCTATGCAGAAACAAAATACCCATTGTGTTGCATGTCTAAATACTAATTCACACCCAAATAACAAGCGCTGCAGGCGCTCACTCCATACTTGCATGAAGTTGTCGCGAATGCTTGAAACGAACGGTGCACACTGTATAGAATACTTCATGAGATTCAGGATGACGCGTCCTTGTATGTCAACAAAGACAAAAAGAAGACAACACTGCTAACGTGTTAGAATACGAAAGCAATCATATACTAGTACGTAGCGTATTCCTAGAAGCTGCACGCCGCGCTGAGCTCGGCCGTGCAACCTCTCCTGCGTCTGCCCGGGAGGGCTCTGCTGGCTCTGCGGCAGGCCGCTCCCTCTTACCGGCGGCCGCGCCGCTGCGCAATGACGAGGGCTTCTCTGAGGTGCGGCGTTCCTTGGAACTACGCCGTGCGCCAGCCAATAGGGTGGCTTCTACAGGCTTCCCTCCATGGGACAGGGGGATTTAGGTGCCGTTTGGCGCGGCTTCAAAAGCTGACAACGCCGGTTCGCTCCATGGGACAGCAAATGTTTTCGCCTTAAAAGTTGTTCACCCGGCGACGTAACGCCTGGCACCAAGCGGCGGAACACGGTAGTGACCGTGGCGGGATTGTACGCCCGCCACCCGCGCGCAACACGAGCGCCGGCACCTCGACTACGGTGAGAACGTTTTTAAATTTATGATTGAAGTCGATGACTGATTGAGTGTGATCACCGTGATGAGCAATGAATAAAAAGACCCTGAGGGACTGTGAGTGTGATGAGCATGTTGAGCTGTGAGTGTGATGAGCATGATGAGCAGTGAGTCTGATGAGCGTGATGAGCTGTGAGTGTGATGATCTGTGAGTGTGATAGGGGGGAGCATGATGACCTGTAAGTGTGATGAGCGTGGTGAGCATGATGAACAGCGAGTGTAATGAGCGTGATGAGCTGTGAGTGTGATGATATGTAAGTGTGGTGAGCGTGATGAGCTGTGAACGTGATGATAGTGACGACGGTGGAGAGTACGTTTTTGTTTCGTGTTTAAAGGGGCGATGCAACAAATTTTCTGCTTTCAATAAATAGAACTTAAAACTGTTCCTTGACATTTATAAACTATGAAACGCATATTGTTTTTTATCTCTACGCAATCGTAGATGAAAAACAAGAAAAAAGTTCAGAGTAAAACTAACACCTTTTACCCCCTCAGCTCGCAGCCAGAAAAAGCGGCCACGGGGTTTGGAGCCGGCAATGTCAAAGCGGGTGTGGGTTGGCAGAGCACAGGGCGCGTGCTGAGTTCAGAGCGTTGTTAATGTTCGGCTATTCCCCGCCCTCCCGGCGATTTCGCACGAGTCACTACCCGAATGCACGCTGAGGCATTGATTGTCACGAGCCAAACTCAAATGCGTACGCAGTCTTCGTGTCCATTCTATGAGCAGCACTTAAATATCGTCACAGCGGGAATCACAAGGTTTCGTGTCGCACACCTGGGGATGGCATTGTTGGCATTGTCCCCTCCGTCATCAATTTCTGGGAAGAAGAGAGTGAAAGAAAACGTCCCCTTCTATTTTCGGAATTGCACCACGACGAAGGCGCTTCTTGGTTTTTCTTGGTCAGGGGCGTTGCGTTCAAGTACACTTGGGACCCACTAGTGCCAGTAAGCTGGTGTAAAGTGAAACACCTTCCCACCCAATATGATTGCGCGGCGCCTTTCATCGTGATGCTGAGTGTGTGATGACCTTGTTTTGAATCAATCGTGATGTTAGTGTGAGCGAGTTTTAGTGGCGCGTTAAATCGTGATGGCGAAAGTCTGTGATGACCCTGTTTTGAATACATCGCGATTGTGAATGAGTTTTGTTGGGGGGAAAATGGGGGGTGATCGTGAGTGTGAGTGAGGTCGGCTCAAGTTACCAATGCCGAGGACGGCATTGGTAACTGTCTCGGGCTTTCGGAAGGCGCGCAGTTGACGATCGTTTTGTATTCTCTCTGCGTCTTCGAAGGCAAAAAAAGAAAAAAAGGAGTGCACAGTATTTTTTGTACCAACTCGTTTGCGTTTTGATAGCTCCTTTTTTTTTTTTTTTCGTTGGAAAGAAACATTTTGATTTTGGAAGTGTGCCTACTATTGTTTTGCAGCGAGAATCCGGTTCTTTGTATCAGTGTGCTCCCCCCCCCCCCCCCCCCCGCCTCTTTCCATCGCCGTGCAGCGCACAAGCTGACGACATACGACTTGCATACCACAAGCCATAAAATAAAAAAAGAGTTGCGTCCAGCTTTGGGTGACGCGAAGAAAGTTTTCAGGCATCTTAAAGGAGCTGTGCAACAATTTTTGTACTGTGCACAAATACCGCTTAAAACGGATCCCTAACGTTAATGACCTATGAAACACGCGTTCGTTTTTCACCCCACGCAATAGAAGTCCCAGAAAAAAATTTAAGAAAAATGAGCAGCGTTCACCCCCTCAACTCGCAGCCAGAACAAGCGGCCACGTGATCTGGAGCCGATTATATGCCGCCAGTGTTGATCATAGCCACGCGCTGGGGTTGGCAAAGCACAGGGCGCGCGCTGAGTTCCAGACATTGTTATGGCTCGGCTGTTGTCGTCGTTGCAGCGATTGGACACGGGCCACTACCCGAATGTTTCTCGAGCTAGTAATTATCACGAGCCCAAATCGAGTGCCCACGCAATGCTCGGGTCCAATCTATGAAACGCATTCAAATATCGTCACTTGGGTGTACTGCGATCCCCGAGTTACGTCATCAAATTTTGCAAAGGAGAGATTGAATGAAAATGATCGCTTTTGTCCTTGAAATTACACCGCAACAAAGGAGTTTCTTGGCCAGTGGCGTTGCGTGTGGGTATCCTTGAGTCCCAGGTGTGCCAGTAAGCTCGTGTAAAGCGAAAAACATTCCAATTGAATATCGTTGCACAGCTCCTTTAAGAACGACAGGCCTCGCGTTGTGTGTTTTCAGGTCACAGTGCGATTTCGGTATAACTTACCGTTAAAAAAAAAAAAAAAAAATTAGACACAATTTGTTTTGTATTTTAAATGCCCACGTTATTTTTTAAATGAAAAAAATGTAACAGATTACAATCATTCCCTTACGTAAATAAGTAAGAAAATTACTTTACAATTATTTTGTAAACAATGTGATTGTTTCCTTACAAAATTACTGATAAATGTTAGATATTGCAAGTAATGAAGCAATGGTGAGGGTAAGTAACTTCTTTACTTGGAACAGGTTGCGTACAAGTCTGAGTATGGGCTATAGCCTACCTAGGGGGCTCTACAGCAGCCAACTCGCCTCCTCAGGTTAGTGAAATCAGACTGTATTTGAATGCGAACTTGCTTCGCTGTAAACGTATTATCTCATCCACTATAACAATAATCATTCCTCCCCAGAAAGTATCGAAATCATATCTTTAACATAGATCCAGTCCTATACTGCTGCTAAGCGACACAATGCTGCTATATCAAAGCTTGTCGTAACGTCAGAAAAACACAGTGTAACGGAGACCATTCACAACCCAGGAACGTTTTTATTTAATGGCTGGGAGTGCGTGCACTTCTCCCAAAAACAGCAGACGGCCGGTAGCCTTCTCGCAGATGTAGAAGAGGAAAGGTCTATTCACGACAAAGGATTGTGTACGATTTTTGCTCGCACGCAGTGCTGTTGCGGCGGCGGCAACCGTGCCTTCTTCGTTGATCTCAATGGCTGCCTTGTGCTGGACCTCGGTTACCACCTGCCCTTCGCCGCCAGGGATTCCCGACAGATCGGCGTCAGAGAAGATGGAACCCACACCCAACTTCTTCAGGGCAGGAACGAGGTTGTACTCCGTTTTCAAGTCGAACTTAGGAAGTTGAAACATGAGAACCGTCTCTTTCAAATTTCTCTGGATTTTTCTATGCTCTCGACAGTTATGGCCTGCCGAAGTTCGGCGAGTCCATTTTTTTTATTGGGAAATACGAATATCATGCTCTGTCTGCCCCCTTTGTAAGGATATTCTGTGGCTTCACATTTCAAGCCGAGTTCAGAGGTGAACAATACCGTGCCGTCTCGCGACATGGTTTCTGCCATAACTACCTCAGATCCTTTGTTGTAAAAAGGAAGTGAGAAGGAATACTTGAGATCGGAAGGGGTCTCCCATAGCCCCTTGAAGTTAATGGCATTGAGAAGCGCCGTTATGGTGCCTGCAGGAATTTTGAAGCCCGAGATCTGGTCTTTGGTCTTGTTCTTTACCCACTGGTTAACCTCGGATTCCATGGCAGACTTTCCTCCCCCAACGTCCACCGACCGATACATCGCCGCAAAGATGTCAACGAGCTCCTTCCGGTAACTTTTGAGGACTTTCAGCTTCTTCTGCACAAATACTGCGTTTGCTATCATCAAACTTAGATTATCATCAGTCTGCTGTTCTGCCAGAATCTTTTTGTAAGACTCCAGTGTAGATTCTCTGCTAGGCAGTCCCGCTGCGGTGTGGCCAAGAGCAGTGGAAAATTCCGCTTCGGACTTGCCCCTGGCGGCGGCGTAGACCATGGCGAGTGCGACGGAGATGCTGGTCGGCGAGAAGAAGATGTTCGATTCCGGTTCTTCGCTGCACAGTTCCTTGAGAAGCTTGAGGGCGAAGTGATTCTGGGCACGGGCGAGCTTCATGTCGCTATCTTCAGCATTGCATTCGCCATCCCCCGTTAGCAGAACGAACAAGACGATCAAAACGTTTTGAGCAAGCATCATCAAAACAGGACTTCCCCTCTGTTCTTCCATGCCCCTTTTTCTCTATATTTATTCTTTTATATACAATGGGCATTTTTGATCGTGGAAACAAACGGAATATCTAGCCAATAAAACAATACATATCTATGTATATTCTAAATGTGCTCGTAAGTTGTCCATCTGCCAAGCATACGCGGAATCCGTAAAAATAAGAACGCAACCTTCAAGCCTCATACTCATTCCATATTCATAACATTGTGATCATTGTTCGAATGCTCCCACTTAGTTTTGCCGAGCTCTTGTTATGGCCTACACCTGCTTGCCTCGCTTCTTTTAAGGTGTCGTTAAATGGGCTATTATGATACCCTTTAAGATGTACTCCCGTGTTTATTGCACTTACAAGCTGAATGATGAAAAATTCTGCGATTAGAAAAAGAACTCCAAGCACAATAGCTGCAACAAATGACCTGCTGTGTGTTTTTATGCGTGTGTGCGTGTATGTGTGTGTGTGTGTGTGTGTGCGTGTGTGTGTGTGTGTGTGTGTTTTGCGCGCGCGCGCGTCTGTGTCAGACTTGTGCCTATCTCAAATACTCGACTCAAGATACTGTATTTTAAATACTTTTTGAAGTATCTTGCAAATACTTTTGATCGAGGGTATTTAATATTCTATCTTAATTACATTTCTGAGTATCTCGTACTTATTATCTCAAATACAATTCTGTCATTCCACCATTTTCCGAGTTTTTCGGTGTGAAGTGGCGTGGGCGTGGCACGAGCAAACACGAACATTCTTTTGAGCAACCAAATCACTTTGCTAGCTCCGATTAGCTACGGGAACTTTGGTTGAGCTCGGAAAAAAAGACATCGCTTTTTTGCCGATTCTGACTCATATTTCAGCCAAAAGTTTCTACAATGAAGGTTTTTCCCTCGCGTTCCCAAAGGCGCCTTTTGTTTCCTAGAGTTTCCCCCGAACAATCCTCAAACAATATGGGTGGTTTTAGGGAAGTTAGGATTTCCAAAATAAAGCGCAACGCAGACCGAGAAACGACCTACGACAACAATGCAAACTTGGTTGTCAAGAAAAAAATAAATGAAAAAAAAAATAAAGGTGGACAGAATTTTGTTTTTGTATATTTGACTTTTTTACGGCAGAACGTCTAGACTTTTTTTTTGTTTATTTTCTTTTTGTCATCAGTCCTCACTTAATGCCCTGGCGAACACTGTCTGTAAGCGAACATTGATAAGCAGAGAACAGGACAGGAAACGAACTAAAAGCTGGATGACCTCTCAAATTCCCAACAAAGCGCCCCCCAACGCTGAGTGCCTTTCTGAACGCAGCCTATTTGAAGAAGGTGCGATCACTGCCGTGGCTATTATGTGGGTTCTCTTCGTTATCCATTCACTCATATCCGTATCCCTAGTTTGTTTATAGTGAACTTCCCATATAGGGAACATATTCTAGGTAAACGATGCGTCTAAGGTGCGCCACAGGACGTGACATTCAGCGGTGTCACTATAGCTAAAGTGACCTCTTTATTTCTATCCCGGAAGTGTTTTGTAACAGGTATCCGTGATATTGCCACGCGCTTTGCCGAGCGAGCATGAGGCCGAATGGTTACCGCGCTTGGCTCTCGCGCGGAGTCTCCGGGTGCGATTCCAGGGAGCGGACTCCTCTTTCATTTATTCTTTCAACTTGACATTCTTGTAAGTTCGAGAACCTTGTCGTCTGATTGAGTTACGAATGTTCTTCGGGCGGAACGTTCGATGTTGAATGTTCCAGAAACCCACGCGGGTACAAAAGGTGCTCCGCGTGGCGGTAGCGAAAGCTTGCGCTGGGAACCTCCTTGCTTCGATCCCCAGCGCCCTCGCCCGTTTCGATCTAGGTGAGTTTGTACCGGCACGCGTTCGTGTAATCACTACTGCGTGATGCACGTTTAAAACCCCAGGTTACCGGTTGTACTGCACTGTCTAAATTTCTCAACTACCGTTAAGCTAGCGGTCACCTGTTAACGCGTACTACCATCAAGGTTGTATGAACATACAAAAGCAAGCCAATTTTGTTTAATTTTGGTCTGGAGTTATGGCTCATTCACACTGGAAGTGGATCCGCGTTCGCGAGGCGGTTACGGATACGGTTCGCGAGAGACCCCGTTCAGACAAACCGAGAGGCGGTTGGCGGTTTCTCGGCGATCACGCGTGATGTTTTGAGACTTGCGTTTGGCAACCCTGTTTTACAATCCACTTTAATCAACGATCCAAAGCCAAATTTTTGCTATTTTGGCACTCTGAAGATTATTCTCCGGGACGTTCGCATGCATCCAGTGTTGCCAAATTGCGCTATATATAGGTGACATTCACTTGACGTCACTCGCTAGGTTCGCTGCCATCGCCCACCGCGGTCGCCATCTTCGAGGTCTCTTGCTATCGCGAATGCCATCTGGCCGGACCTTTTGGGCGTGGTTTAGCAGTATTTTACAACTTTAAAGGGTCTTTTTGATCGAAACTAGGGGTTATTCTTATACTTTGGTACTTCTGAAGCGTTGTGGGAGTATTTTTTGTGTGTTTTAGTTTGTTTTTGTCGCAATCGGACTCGTTTACCGCGGCCGCGTTGCTCCCTCGGCTCCATGAAGCGCTCCGCGTCGCCCGCCGTGCCGACGGCGGTAGCTCTTGCAGGAACTAATTTTTCTACTTTGGTGCTTTTGCAGCACGGTGTGATTACTCCTTGTTTTGTTTTGCTAGTTTCATTATTGTTTTTCTCTAGCTGATTTTCTGTACTACGGCCGTGTAACCGTGTGGCTCCATCGCCGCTGTGTCGTACATATACGTCGTGCCTTCGGTGTTCGTTCCTGTGCAGAAACATACCGTGCGGCTCACAGGGTGCGCAGCTTATAAAAAATGCGGCGCATTTTCATTAGCCCAAGCGATTTAAAAACCGCATGTAAGCGATTTGGCAAGCGGGAAGACAAGCGACGGCGACCCGCTTCGCTGCCGCTCGGTCACTCGCGCGACGAGGCAAACCGCATGAAAGCGACGGGAGGACACGACCAAGGCGTGGAGCGCTAAGTTTTCTAGAAATCCCAAAACCGAGCTACGCGACGAGTGACAGTGAAGGGTGAACCGCATGTAAGCGATTTAGCGAGCGATGGCGACAGCGACGGGAGTCGGCGACGAGCGACGGAGATTTCTAGCGGTCGGTCGTCGCGTCGCTTGGCTTTTGGATTTCTAGAAAAGGTCGCTTATCGCCTTGGTCGCATGCTCCCGTCGCTTTCATGCGGTTTGCCACGTCGCGCGAGTGACCGAGCGACAGCGAAGCGGGTCGTCGTCGCTTGTCTCGTCGCTCGCCAAATTGCTTACATGCGGTTCAGCCGTTCAGCCTTTACACACGGTACTTGGCGGCAACAAGGAGAACGGCCCGCCCCCGAGACCAAATTTTCTTCTCTCTTCTGTTCAACGAAGCTTCAACGATAGGAAATTAGCACACACTAGCAGCGGACGCTCGCGTAGCGTACCCAAGCCAGTCAAACCGAGACCTCGAAGATGGCGGATCGACGGTGGCGCTCCCTGGCAAAATCGAACCTGCAGGCTCAGTGAATACCACCTATAGCCAAATTGGACTACACTTTTTTTTCTATTTGGCGTCAAAATTGCGTTGTTGGTTACGTGGCTATTTCGGGCTATTTCTAAAGATTCTGCGAACTTTTGTCGAAACCTCAGGTTCCACGACAAACTTTGAGGACGACTAGTTAATTTTCAAACTTCTTATCGGCTTCAAAGAAAATCGTTTCTATATTGTCCAGTCTAGAGGAGAGAGAGGGAGGAGAAAGTTTTCGAACTTCAACAATCTTTGGGGTGGGGTTTTCACAATGCGTAGAGAATCAATGCTTGCAGAGTTCAGCGGTTTCCCCACAGCGCAGTCGAGCAAACCAAACAGATTTCCCTATTACCACAGGCCCGGTAGCGCGTGTTCTACTCCAACCTATGGTTTGGTGCCCATTGTGAGAATCCTTGGGCACCCAAGTTCCTAAGAACGAGAAGTCCGCAGCTTCGCCGCTAAACAATTGACCACCTTCCAGTCTTCGCCCAACCCAAGAGAGGACGGTGAACCTGAATAGGGGACACTCATATTCTACACAAAGAAAATAGACGGGTGGAATATTGGTAAGGACCTTAGATACTGGGGTTCTCGTTTGAAACTACTTGTGTTCTTACTGTTCTGCTTCTGTATTTTGTTCTTTTACTGTATGATCAAATCTCCCAGGCTTCACAATAAAGCTGTCTTTTTAAGTTTTTGTATTTCTGAAAACGTACGAAGGAAGGGTCAGTGCTGCACAGATTTTCATCCCTCCGAAACATATTTTTCAAACATTCACAAGTGACATAATGTACACAAGGTGCGGCGCATCTGAGGGTTAAAAAAAGATGCAACGTGTTTTGGGGTATATGTGTGAAAAAGTGTCAATAAAAGGCTTAAAAATAATTGTTTTAATCTTGGCTATATTTTGTTTACGGCTTTGGCTATATTTGGGCTATACTTCCCAGACGTTTGGCGATTTTTTGTGGGACCATCTGGCAACACTGCACGCATCACGAGTTCAGGCAGCGAAAAAACAAGTCTAGACCCGCGAACCTCGCCTGTGATTCCTTCGCCCACAAGCAAAGCCCAGCTAGGCGTGCCTTGCTGACTCAGAATAGGATGCCCCCGACCTTTTCTTTGATGTGGACCCTTCCCGCATGAATAGCTGGCCTTGTTTTCGGGATAGAGGGTCAGTTTTCCCCCCTTGTTCGCTCTTATCATATTCGAAGTTGGGAGAAGTCGGGTGGACCGGTGGTGGCCGGGGAATGTGTTCGGTGCGAGCCGGTCGTCGCTTTGTTAGTGGCGGGCTCATCTCGTCACTCGCGCGTCGATCGAGTCTACTATTTGTTTGTCATTCAGCTCAAATAAACGCCGTATGAACTACCTCTGCATTGTCTGGTACGTACCCTTTATTTTTTGCGTGTGTTCACTTTATTTCTTTTGTTAGTAGTAAACGTTACAGGTCGAGCTTAGGGTG